CTTCTTCCCCAGAATGGGGATACTGAAGCTGGTCTAAAAAGGGCCAATAGAGCCCCATCATTTTGGTCCCTCAAATATAACCTGGACTCCAGGGTCCATGTACCAGGAATTTATTACCACCCCCCCTCCAGCCTCTAGTGCTAGTAGAAGGGGGGGGGGTCAAGATCCCTCCTCTCTTCTAGTCACTGCTAGCCCAGAGGGAGGCCAGCATCAGAGGCAGGAAATGAAGAAGAATTTGTGATCTAATTGAGCTGGCGGGGGATTAGGCGGCAGAATGCAATTACAGGGGCTGGAGCTGGGCCAGGGGCACTGACACCCTGAGATGTGGCCTTGCCCAGGTAACTGGGCCCAGGCAGTATCCAGCTAGAGACACTGGACTCAGGGAGGGGGCGCAGGTGAGCAGCGGGTGGGGCCTGAGTGCCCTCCTCAGCATATAGAAGACTGCAGGATTCCAGGTTCATGTGATTCCCAGGAGCAACTTTTACTAGGAATTCTCCCCCAGGGGAATCGATGGCAGCCCCCAGACTCTCACATGAGGAGCAGGCAGATAGGTACACTCACTCTCACAGATTCTGCTCATGCATATACACGCTTGTGTTCATGCTCCCAGGTAAGCTCCACATAACCATGTTCACTTTCACAGGGGCAGACTTCCCAACCTGCACACACACAGCTGTGGCCCTTTGCAGCCACTGACTCCACCAAAGGGGGGGAACATAAAAAAACACCCATGACCTTAAAATCCTTTTATTCCCGTAATCACAGGCTGCCATCACCGTGGATACGCGCTGTCACCCCGGCCCCAGCCTGTCTCCCTCCATGGCTTCCAAAACTCCCAGCAGGCAGGCAGACGGGGAAGCTGCCCAGTTACTGGAGAGGGGGGGAGCCGGGTAGAAGAGATTTGATGCTACACACACACACACACACACATACTCTCTCCCTCCCTCTCTCTCTCTCAGGGCCTCAAACAACCAGGAAGGAAGAAACAGAGGGGCAGAGAGAGATACTAAAAGAGAAAGGAACACATAGCTACCAGCTACTGAAGGCCCATACAGCTTAGATAGGCTTACTCCCAGATTTATAAGCATATACAAAACACACAAATACACACAACCACAACCAGACTCTGAAATTTTCAGGCACACACGTAGAGAAAATATACATTCCTAGATCCACAGAGACACATCCAATTTTCCAATTTACAATCTCAGACTCAGAAACATACATTGGGTTTACATGTATAATGCAGCTACACAAGCCCGCATCCACAGATCCATGCATGCTCAGACTCCTGAGACACACATTCAACACACCAATTTCTAGACATACACACACAACTTAGAAACATACATATCCTGAGTCATAAGCACACAGGCCATCCAGTCCCACAATGCAGACCAACTGACTAGTACCACACAGCCTCATCTGTCAGCTGACATTGCCTCTGGCTTTAGCAGGCAGGTGGAGGATTGGAGATTCCTGGGTCTTTGAGGGGGCAGTCCTTTCTCACTGCCTTCAGCCTGGATGGGTGGGCTCAGCACTGGGGGGAGTCAGAGAGAGTGAGGGGGAAGTAAGGGAAGCAGAAAAAAAACTTTAGTGGGATATTCTTGTTGGGCAGTAGCGCGTGAGTAACGGGGGAGGCTTTTTGTGGTCTGGTGAGTTCCAGCTATGAGTGAGAGTTTAACTATTAATACACTTAATCAAGAACACTTCACACACACACACACACACAACCACACACACAGGGCCAGGATGGGACCAGTAGGTGGGGGCAGGATTGGGAGAGCCCCAAGGGGAAAAAAATAAAAGGGAAAGCCCCAATCAGGGCCCCAGGAGGCGGGGAAGGGGGTGGAGCTTCTGCCTGGAAAACGCCTACAGAGTTGGGGCAGTGATTCTGCACCCCCAGAAATACATAGAATGTATAACATTTACATATTAGGCTGATGAATGAATAAATTAACTACATATAAGCAGAGAGCAATAATAACAACAATAAGTGAGCCTGCCCTATCCCTAGCCAGTTAAAGTATGCTCCAGAGCATTATAGTTGGTAACTAGTTCTGACTGGTCACCACGGGGCTCTAGCAGTAGGCCTGAGTCTGGCTCACCTATATTCTCCCAGACCTCTACCCCATTCTGTACCCTAAAAAGTCAACTGACCTCTGCCCAGCATATATCATTCGCTTCTTTCTGAGGGATACCCCCATCTCCATTCTACCCTCCCATGAAATAGGAGGTGGGGTCCTAAATTCCCAGATGTGGTTCTTTATCCAGATGCAACCCTGCCCCCAGACTCCTATGGGCCTCAGTTTCGCACATGCCAAATGGGTAAAAGACAGGCAAAAAGCTGAAAAGAGGCAAAAAGTTGAGGGTCATGGTGGAGCACATGGACAGACAGCAGGCTTGTGCCATCCTGGGCCCTGGATGCAGAACCCTTCCCAACAGTTCCCTCCCCTTCCCCCACGTAGCCTAACCCAGCCAGGCTGCGTGGACATTCCAGGCCTCACGTGATAAAGAGGAGGCCACTGGTCCTCGGATAAGTCAACAGGCTCTCTTGCACAGGAGAGATAGGAGGCCCAGGCCAGGGTCACCTGCTGAGCCGGGAGAACAACTGAGCCCAAACACACATAAATAAGCCACCAACAGTCAGTCAGCCAGCCAGTCAAAGCTCTGTCTTCTGCACGGGAACCTCTCTGCCTCCACCTTGGAAAGGAAAGTGGCATGGGGGAGAGGGAGGCTCAAGGCTGGCTAGAGGCTTCCCAAGAGTCCCAAGATGGGGAGGGGGGCTATATCAACCAAGCTCCCAGGGCTGACTGAAAATGCAGAGGCCAACCTCCCTCAGCTGTTCCCACCCCTTTCCAGGGGGGGGAAAAATCAGACTGTCAACCCCCTCTCCCTCCTCCCCAAGGGGAGAGAACAATTTCGTTCTGGGAGGGGGGTGACAGCTGCAGAGCGGGCCACTCCCCCCCCCCCAACAAGCTCCAGCTTGATTCTCATCTAGGGAAACTGCTAAATCAACACCATGCCGTTACGGGGAGGTAGCGCCCTATGTCTCCCCTCACGGATCTCAAAAACGGGATTGGAAGGTGCTTCAGGTTCTAGTTTCTGGGTTCCCAGCAGCAGTTGGGGGGGGGCTTTCGGGAGGAGGACAAGTCAATCTTAGGCAAGTAAGATCCCCAAAATATCTCATTTAAATGCTCCTAATTTCAGGGACCGAACCCCCCACCCCAGCGGCCAGGGGCAGCTGAGGTGGCGCCGGGCGTTCAAATCGCGCTCCAAACAGGTCCGCAGCGACTGTGTTTGCAGCCCCCGCCAGGCGGCCCCAGCGGAAAACTTGAAAGGGACTCTGTTTGCCGGCGGCCCTGGGGCGGCTCCGGCGGGGGCGAGGACCGAGGATCACACACGCCCCCCTCCCCAGAGCTTCAAGAGCAAACGCCAGGAGCGGGGTGGGGCTGGGCCCACTACAAAACCGAGGGCTGCAAACAGCGCCTGCGGCACAGGGAAAGGCAGGGATCGGGAGGATGGTCCGATGACCCCCCTTTCTGCAGCCCCCAATCCAAAGATGCGACTCTTGGACCACCCAGGATCCTGGGGGCAAAGAGGGTGAAACTGCTGAATCTCAGACCCTCGTCGCAGGAGACTAGAGGGAGCAGGTCTTTCCGGATGAGTCACTACAGAACCCCCTCAAATCCACTGGTGCCTCCTTGCAGCCCATGGCACTAACCCAAACTCCGTGTACCCCTTCTGATTCTCGGGGAAGAGGAAAAAGAGAGGTTTTGCTCTCTCATTGGATGCTTCAGCTCTTCTGACAGGTCCCGAGATGGACCCCTATTTAAAAACTGGGGTCACTCACTTTCTGCCGATCCTACAAATAAACAAAGCCAGGCGCACCCCGCGCTCCCCGCCGGAAAACAGCCCATTCCGGGCGAGGACAACTTCCCCCAGTCAGAAAATTAACACATTCCTCTCGCGGCGGTTCAGCCCCTCGCTCCGGGGAAGCGAAGGGGAGGGGGGCTCGGGCAGAACTTCAGGGGTAAATTCGGAGCCAGAGCTGCACCGCAGGAGCCTGGGACGCATCCCCCTCCAACAGCCCTGCAGCTAGGGGAAAACCCCCATTCTCCCTCCCTGGCTTTGCACGCTATTTAGCCCACGCGGGGCTTGGGAGGCAGCCCGAAAGGCTCCCCATCGCTGTGGTGGGAGGGAGAGGCTGCGGGGCACGGTGGAAGTGGGGGTGATACTTTCACCGATTAAAAAAAAAAAAAAAGGTCAAACTTGATCAGCCCGCCAGGCACCCCGCGGGCAGCGGGGGCGAGGAGCTGGAGGGGAAATGCAGAAGTGGCCGCCGCCTCTTCCAAGAGGAGGGGGAGGCTCAGCCACGCATGGTCGAAGCCGCTCAGGGCAGTTACCATCGCCCCCAAACACAGGGTTGTGAGTGGGGTCTGCTGCGGGGAGTGCACGCCAGAGATCTCCAAGCAGTCACCCCCGCAGGCGGAGCGCCCGCCTAACACCAAAAGGTGAGGACCCCGGGGCGCCCGCCACCCCAGCGCCCACGATCTGGAGTGATTGGGAAGAGGACGGCACCTCTCAGGAAAAGCCCCAACCCCACTCCACGGCGCCCAGCCCGCCGTCCCCGACCCTAAAACCCCTCTTTTTGTCTGAACTCAGTGATCTGCGACCGAGCATACTGCAGCTTGGGGAGGCTTGGGTATAGAAGCGGCCACCAAACGATCACCGGCGCTAGGTCTCCCAGGCTTCGCGGATCCGCGGCTCAGGTTGCGGGAGCCCCCCGCCCCTCCCAAACACGGACCCCTCCTTCCCCGTCCCTAGCTTTCCGCACCTGAACTTCGGGGGAACCCGCGCAGCCAAACTTTCCGCCGACTTCCAGCGAACTCCGGCCCCGGCCGCGCACCGAGCCCCGGGGGAGGAGAGGGAGGTAGGCGGGGAAGGGGAGGGGGCCGGTCTGTGGGGGGGTCGGGGGAGGGCCATGGCCCGACACCTACCGGCTCTCCGAGTCGTCCGAGCCGCCACCACCGCCGTCGCCGCGAGGCCGAGGGGGAGGGGCGGGGCGGGGAGCTGCGCTCCTCTCTGGGCACTGCCGCCGCGGTGCGCTCTGCTCCAGCCGCCCGCTGCGCCTGGGTCCGGAGCCGGAGTCGCGCCGCCGCGGCTGGCCCGAGGCGGGGAGGGGGGGGAGCCCGCAGCACCTGCCCCTCCTCCCCCTCCCCGCGGCCCAAATTAAAAAACAACAAAAAGCAACTAATCACCCCGGAGCGGAGCGCGGCGCGGCGGGCGGAGGGCTCAGCGTGCAGCGCCCGGACTCAGCAGGCGGCGCGCATGCTGGGCGCGGGCTGGGCAGGGCTGGGACGCAGGGTCGGGCTATTGGGTTATGAGGCTTCGCTGCTCTTCTTGCTCAGCTCAAACGCCTGCTTTCGCCGCCACCGCCGCCTCTGCTGCCGCCAGTGCCGCCGCCTCTACATCCCCGCTCAGGCTTCGCCGCCTCTGCCGCCGCCGCCGCCGCCGCCGCGCGCCCGCCCGGGCAGGAGCTCTGAACGCTGCCCGGGGGCTGCCGGCAAAACCTGGACCGGACTAGCCGCTCCCTCCCCCCCCCCTCCACCTCGGCTCCCCTCCCTCCTCCTGCCGCCTCCCTCCCAGCGCAGCTCTGGCCACTTGGACGCCGCAGGCTCTGAGCTGGAGCCGCAGCCGCTGCGCCTGGAGCTCCCTGCGCCGTGCCGAGGTCCGCCCAGGTTCAGCTTCCCCGCGCTCCCTGCTTCACCCTTTTTCCGCGCAACTTTACAAAAAAAAAAAAAAGCCTCTCCCTTTTGTGATGCCTGGGCCTGGAAACGCACCTTCGGAGAAAACCCGCCGTCCTCTGCCCCCTGGTAAGCGGGGGAAGAAGCTACAAGGATCGAGAGAGTTAGACAGCATCTCCTCCCCTACTAGGTGTGCGTTGGGCTGGGGACTTTTGGCTCAGGGCTGTGGAACCCAGGCGCGTGTTCAAAGACCGTACCCTTCCCAGAGCGCCTTCCTGTAATTCAATAGACACTAGGTCCACTGGGAGAAAAGGGGCGGAATTTTTGTTCCCATTTCACAGGTGAGAAAACTGATCTGAGAAAGGACATTTTGTTTCTTGGGAGGCAGGTGCCAGCCCAACCTACTGAGCCCTGGGGTTAAGGTGACGACACTGTAATGGCTTGAGACTCAAGAGCCTACGAACTCTGAGCATGAAACAGCGCAGGGAACACAGCTGGGCTCAATAGATACTGGCTGAAAGAACGAAACCCCAGCTCTGGCAGAATAAACGTCCACCCAAAACATAGATTTGAGTGGGTATATCCTCGTCCTTATTCCAGTACCCTCACCACCCCTCATCTGCCCGGTTTGGGCTAATCCTACAGCTGCAGGATGTCTTCTCAGGGACCTATAGAGCAAGGCCCTGACTTCTTCCTAATCCCAAACTGGAAGTTCTCAATTCTCAGGATTGGTGGGGGTGGGGTGGGCAATGCATTGGAGAAGTTGGCCTCCTTCTGGTTAAAAGTTACAGTTTGAGCTTGATTGGGGTCCAGATAACAGGGAGTTAACTGCAGCCAGGATGCCTCAGCCACAGGCCTCCCTCGGAGAAGCGAAACCTGCTCCCACCTTGCAGCTTCCTCTCTCCTTTTGTGCTGTGTGGCAGTTTCCCAGCCAGGGCAAAGGCCATGGTCAGTGTCCCCCTGGAGTAGCAGCCCACAGCCACCTCTAAGCCTTCTAAGTGTGGATTTGAAGCTCAAACCAGTTGGGGGTGAGGGTGGTGTAAAAGGGCAGAACTCCTCTGGAATGTTTGCCTCTCCCACTCTGACATCCCAGGCCACAAGGAGTGACTCTTCCCAGTAATCAGGGATACCCCCCTCCCAGCCAGTTCCTTCCTTGGACAAATGCTGAAATGTTCTTCTTTAACTATTGTGTCAAAGAATGACTTCTTGCTGGGTGTGGTGGGCTTGTGATCCCAGCCACTGGGGAGGCTGAGGCAGGTGGGTCAAAAGTTCAAGGCCAACCTCAGCAATTTAGGGAGACCCTGTGTCAAAATAAAATAAAGGCTGGCTAAGTAGTAGAGCACCACTGAGTTCAATTCCAAGTACCACCCCTCCCCCCCAAAAAATATATATATATCTCCCTTGGGTGAGGCATTTAGCCTCTCTCCACCTCTCCAGCAGGCTTCTTCAAAGATACCCCAAGTAAACATACCATGTGAGTAAAAATAAGGTTCTTGGTTTGGAAATACAATTTTAAGACAGTGTATACCCCTGAATGTTCACCCCTAACCTGCTTAAAGATATTCTGGGCCTCGCCTTGAGAGGGTAGGCACTGTTTGTCACTGAGCATACAGGAAAAATGAAGCAGAATCACAGATCTAGATGCTCTAGGATGGCCTAGCAATTAATCCACTCCCATCTACCATTTCAGGGAAAGCAGAGGCACAAACTGTGAGGAAGGACCTGTTTCCTGGGAGTTAAAAGCAGGCCTCCGAGTTAGGACCCAAAAAGTGAAACTAACCTACAAACCCATGAAACCTGATATAAAGTGCAGAACCTGATTCTGTACACCTGAAAAAAAGCTTAATGCCAGGATCCATGGGAGGATGGTAGACAGTTACCCCATTAGGGAATTATTATTAATTATCCTTTTTTAAAAATTTATTTTTTTATTATTTCTTACATACATCACGATAGAGGAGTACATTATCCATTTTTTGAGATCCTTATTCCCACCTCCACCCAACTACAAAAGTGAAGGTCTACAGGCTACAGTGGAAGAAGACCAGGTGATCCCAATGGTGATGGTTTCCTCAGGGAAGCGATGATGACAATTACTTGTCCCAGATCAGAGGGTGAATCTTGTAGCCTTTTCCTTCTCCTGGAAATCAAGAACTGTGGAGACCCCGACCCTTACCTGTCCAACCCAGATGGGAACAAGGGAGGACAGGGCCAGAATATGGAAAATGTACTATGACAGGAAATGTCAAGTGCAAGCCATCCACATAGAACTCTCCATTATGGACGTTGAGACAAGCAGAGGACACTCAGGAAGGATGAGGTGGGGGCTTTTGCCCTTGTGGAAACCACTTTCACCTTATCCTCTTTCCCCAAGAAGAGAAGTCACTCTGACTTGCTACGCCTCTTCTACCTCCAAAAAGGAATGCTTGTCTCACATTGTTATTAAACTTTCTGCTGAGGTGTTTTTATTTTTTGGTACTGTGGATTGAATCCAGGTGCATTCAACCTGAGCCACATCCCCAGTCCTTTTTTTACTTTTTATTTTGAGACAGGGTCTTGCTAAGTGGCTGAGGTTAGCTTGGAACTGGCAATCCTCCTGCCTCAGCCTCCTGAGTCGATGGGATTAAAGGCCTGGGCCATCCACACTTGGCTCTCTGCTGACTTCTTTCAAGTAATCATTCAAACTTCAAGTCAGGATGCCAGTTCCTCAAGTCTCCAGCACCTATGGGGAGCAAGAGTCCTTGTACCCAGCTGCCCTGTCTTCTAGGGAGGAGTGCTGGTGTTGTGCTTCCTTCTTGTTCTCTTTTGCAGTGCTGGGCATGGAATATAGGGCCTTGCCCCAAGCACCCTACCACTGAGCTACCTCCCAGCTTGATGGTGCTCTCTTGAATCCTGCTGATAAAATTCATGTCTGGCATTTATAAAGCCTTACCCTACCTCAGTAGGTCATTGTGCTAAACAGTTAAGGTATATTATCTCATTAACTTCTTATATCATCTCCATTTTTCAGATGAGGAAAAAAGTGAGACTGCACTGATGTTGTTTTCTAACCCTGAGATTTGCTGTGCTCCTGAGGTTTCTCCCATATAGATCTGACCAGGAGTTCACCTGAATCAAATCCTGTAGTGCCTTCCCAGAGCGCACAGAATCAGCTCAAGCCCCTTACTCCCAAATTATTCCTTTCAGACACCATGGCCACCCTTCCCAAACCAGCCCTCTTCTCCTTTCAATTCCAGGTCTCTGCTGACCAACACCACTTAATATCAGCAGTCCTCTCAGACACTCCAAGGCCCTCTTGCAGATTTCCAGGACTTTACATGTGCTCATCCCTCTGCCTAGAAGAGCTCACCCCATAAACTCCATTGAAGACCAATAGCATATCACTTCCACTGGGAGCTTTTTGTGTCAATTCCAGCCTGAGTTTGGGCCATGCCTACATGGCCACCAGTAGCATTTGTACAAATTAGAAAAAGTCATCCACTTAGAGCATATATAGAAACCTATGCAAGAGGCCCATGGACTGCCCTTTAGCCTTCCTAGCTACCTTTGCTAGGTGCCTTTTTGAAGTGCATGCACTGCATAGCTGTACTCTGTGGCCTGCTTTGGGCCCCTTGTCCCCTCCTATGGCCACAGTGACCATACTGCAGAGAAATTTTTGTTTTGGTTCTGAGAATTGAACCCACAGGCACTCTACCATTGACCTACATCCCTAGTCCTTTTTATTTTGAGATAGGGTCTAACTAAATTGCCTAAGGCTGACCTGGAACTTGTAATCCTTCTATCTCTGCCTCCAAGAGTCACTGGGATTACAGATGGGTGCCACCCCACCTGGCTAAAATAGCTTTTGTGTGTGTGTATGGCACTGGGTATTGAACTCAGGGCTTCATACATGCTACACAAATCCTCTACCACTGGGATATATCCCAACCCCCCAAAAGCTTATATTTGCTCCTCTATCTCCCTGTTCTCCACTACCACAACCCATGAAAATTCTTTGAGGCTACCAAACTGCCCTAGACCTGAAGCCTGGCTCTAGGTAGGTCAGATAATAACAATTATAGCCTACCTCTTTCTAAGCACTTACTATGTGTTGGGCACCATATTAATTGCTTTCTGTGCACATACTTATTTAATCCTCAGGCTGCATCACCTGTTCAATGTTACAATGTAGCAAAACCAGGATTTCAATCTACGCCTTGTCTGAGGCATTTTCTACAACTGCCATGTATGAGCTAGTGGCCAGGACTGATTAAACATCCAGTGACCAGAAATGTTGCAGAGAGGAGTCTTAAGAGTTACAGTCTCAAGGATGGAAGCAAGGGTGTTGGCATCCCTGCCTGCTAGGACAGGGTACAGGATAGTCTTCAATGGGGTCATAGTGGACAGTGATCTCAGTCA